CCACGCAGGGGAGTGCAGCATTGGGTGCGGGGAGGTGGTGCCCACTCAAATACCCCCTCCCGCCTCACCTCACCCCCTCCCCACCCTCAGCTATTCCCATCCACTGCTCCCACCTCTCCCCCTGTTCCGTCCCCTCGCGCCTGGCCAGGCCTTCTGTGCCTTCAAGGGCCACTGCTCTTTGAGACCTTCCAACACTTTAACGCACAGACCGATGGGCAGGAAAAGGAAGATCAGACGGAGGAGAAATGTTACCTGCGCATCCTCTCACCTCACCCCCTCCCCACCCTCAGCTATTCCCATCCACTGCTCCCACCTCTCCCCCTGTTCCGTCCCCTCGCGCCTGGCCAGGCCTTCTGTGCCTTCAAGGGCCACTGCTCTTTGAGACCTTCCAACACTTTAACGCACAGACCGATGGGCAGGAAAAGGAAGATCAGACGGAGGAGAAATGTTACCTGCGCATCCTCACCGCACAGGCCTGCCACCCTCCATGCCAAGCAAGGCTGGTCAGACATTGGGTCGGTGTGCCAGCGGTACAGGTGCTACAGATCTTTGCCTTGTGATCCTTTCTACGTCAGAGCCAACACCCGCCTGCGGCTCTCACCAGAGCCCACCTGGAGTAATAGGGTCAAGAAGTCTCCCTCCCCATGGCCAACGTTCTGAGAGGGGGCAGCTGCAGGGGTGAAGCCCACTGAGCCATACAGCAGCAGGGAAGGGGGGGAGCAGTGAGGGCTAGTGGCTAGGGCATGTGCTCAGATCCTCCTTCAATGGACTGGTGGCAGTTTACACCAGCTGAGCATTTGCCCCCAGGTTCATTTCCCTCATTTGTTGTTAGTGATTCTGGGCAAGTAACACTCCCAGCCAGACGGGGGTAAACACCAGCCAGCCCCGCCCGGCGCAGGGAGCCTCGTGAGTAAAGAGCAGCGTGAATTCCCCCGCCTGGAACCCAGCCCCCAGGGGACCGGTTACCTAGTCGGAGCGCCACTAGACTCCACCCACCTTACAGACGTGGCCTTTGGGAGCCACAACGGCTCCGCACCCCTGGACAGGCCCTTTCCACTCCCTCTCCCCACCCGCCTGCCATTCCCCCCAGGGAGAGTCCAGCTCCATCAGCATCCTCCAAAGCTACTGCCCCCCACGGGGACCCCAAGCCCAGCCTGGGCCCTGCTGCTGTGCCTGCAAAATGGGTCCCACCCCCACAGTGCTGCTCTCAGGTGGGCCCCCCAGGGGTCCAGCTCCATCAGCATCCTCCAAAGCTACTGCCCCCCACGGGGACCCCAAGCCCAGCCTGGGACCTGCTGCTGTGCCTGCAAAATGGGTCCCACCCCCACAGTGCTGCTCTCATGTGGGGACCTGATCCCTGATGTCCCATTGCT